ATTTCTTATTCGTGTTATTTGTATTCTCTCCCTCTTTTCCTTTGTTAAATTTGCCAGTGGTTTGTCAATTTTATTGATCTTTTCAAAAAACCAACTTCACACATTTTTGTTATATTGCTTTTCCCTGCACCCATATCAAACCTGTCTCTTAATATCCATCTATTTTCCCTCTCTTTCCCTTTCCTCTCATCTCTGGTAACCAACAAAGAAAATTCCTTCCCTGTGTAAACTTTTTCTTAACTTTTTATAATAATGGACTCATACCACATTTGTCCTTCTGTGATTGACTTATTTCACTCAGTGTGATGTTCTCCAAGTTTGTCCATGTTATGAAGTGATTTTCTGGTTCTTCTTATTCTTTAATGTTGCATAGTATTCCATTGTGTGTATGTAGCACAGTTTGGTTATCCGTTCATCTTGATGGGCACTTAAGTTGTGCTATTCAATTTTCAGTAAAGCTTTCACAGAACATGTAATTTCAAGCAATGTGATATCTGATTAAGCTCCATAATAAATAAGTTGTAATATATACTTTAAGGTAACTAGAAGTTACCTTGAATTGACTAGTTCAACAGAATTGTTTTCTATGTTATAGAGAGTGTAACCTCTGCCTCCCCTCATCCTCACTCCCCCCCCAAAAAAAAACAAAAAAAAAAAGATTATTTGGGTGTTGGAAAAGGTAGTCTTCTTGTTCTAGTCATTATTGAGTAAGAAAGGGTTGTTAGTTAGTTGCTGCTTTGCTGCTAAGTGCCATCAATTTGGCCCCAACTCATAGTGACCCCATGGACAACTGAATAAAACAGTGCCCAGTCCTGTGCCATCCTCCTAATCATTGCTGTGTTTGAGCCCTGTGTTGTAGCCACTGTGCCGATCCATCTCGTTGAAGGTCTTCCTCTTTTTGCTGACATTCTACTTTACCAAGCATGATGTCCTTCTCCAGACTAGTCCTTCCTGATACGTCCAAAGTATGTTTGTTAAACTACTTGTAATTCATGACAATTAACTTCTATCATCTACATTATATTTCCTAAAGTCTCTCCTCCTTCTTACGTAGTCCTGTTTAGCAAAACCAAAAAGTAAAATATCCAAAATTAATAATTCAATGGATTGGCTTAAAGCTCACTAGAGAAAACTGAAGAAATAGTGAAAAGGAAACACTGTCCAGAATGCACAAAAAATAGAATGAAAAAACAGAATGAAAGATAAGAAACATGGAGTTTACAGTGAGAAGATATAATTTGCATTTGACTGGAGTCCAAGAATTAGAGGAGTGAAAGAAGGAACCAGAGCAATATTTGAAGAGGTAAGAATTTGATGAATTTAATGAAAGATAATAATCTACAGATTTTAAAAGTTCAACAAATCTCATCAAAAAGAAACTAAATCAAAAGAAACCCAGATCTAGATACATCAAGGTAAATGTGCAGAAAACCATAAAGAGGAAATTTTAAAGTAACCAAATAAATATATAAATTACATTAGAAGGAACAACAGTCAGAACAAAACTGACACAAAAATGATGTCATGAGCAAGTTGGGTTTATTCCAATAAAGTACAGCTAGTTTAACACTTGAAAATCAATGCAATCAATACCACACTAGTAGAATAAGGGCGCTCTGGTGGTATAGTGGATGAGGGACTTGACTGCTAACCAGAAGGTCAGCAGTTCAAACCCACCAGCTGCTCCGTGGAAGGAAGACTGGGAAATCTACTTCCATAAAGATTTTCATTATGTCCATTGTCCTGGTAGTATTATAAGAGCCTGGTGGTGCAATGCTTAAGTGATAGGCTGCTAACCAAAAGTCTGGCAGCTTAAACCCACCTACTGGCTTCACAAGAGAAAAGACCTGGCTATCTCCTCCCATGGAGATTAGAGCCTACAACATCTTATGGGTCAGTTCTACTATCTCACATGGGGTCACTATGAGTTGGAATCAACTAGATGGCACCTAGCAACAACCTAACAGTATCAGCCAGTTCAATAAGGCAAAGAAAAGATATGGAAGGCATAACAATTAGAAAGAAAGGAATATTGTTCATCCTTAAAGAGAAATGAAGTCCTGATACATATGATGACATGGATGAATCCTGAAAGCATTATGCTGAGTGGAATCAGCCAGACAAAAAACGACAATACTGTATGAGCCCACTTACATGAAATATCTACAACAGGCTAACACATAGACACCAAAGTTTATTAGTGGTTACTGAAGCAGTGGAAGGGAGACATGAGTAGTTATTGCTTATGGGGTACTGGGTTTCTGTTAAGGGTGACGAAAACAATTTCAAATGGATAGTGGTGATGCTGCAGAGTCATATGCATATAATTAAAGTCACTGAATTATATACATAAAATGGATGAAATGGCAAATGTTTTGTTACATATATTTCACAATAAATTTTTTTAAAAGGATGAATAAATTATAATGAAACATTACATAGCAGTGAAAATCAGTAAACCAAAATACATGCAACAATTTGAATGAATCTCACAAATGTTATGTTGGATAAGGGAGGTCAACACAAATAATTCATATTGTATGATTTGTTTAAAATCAGTTTCAATAAAGAAGGAAAAAAAAAAAAAACTAGAGTATTAAAGAATTACTATGTAGTTTATAATTGTGACCTGAAGAGATGTAACCAAAAAGGCACTTGGAAAGGGGAGAGTTTTTGAAACAGAACCAGCAATGTTCTATTTTTCGACCTAAGTAGCAGTTATACAAGTTTGCATCACACTAACTTCTCAAGCTATTCTCTTACATTTTATGTATTTTTCTGTATTTCCATTTTATTTCAAATAAAAATGGTTTATGAAAATTAAATTAAACCACTTACCCAGAGACTAGCATCTGCCCATCATGGGAAAAAGCACAAGCCAGAACAGGAGCACAGTGCCCACTCAGTGTACTTTTATATTTTAATCCAAGACCTGCTAATAACAAGATAAGAAAAGTTAGCGAGCTGACCATAAGCTGAGTGCCAAAACACAAAACTGAAAAAGTCTTCAAGCAGCTCAGATACCTGAACATTTAAGCAAATAACTGTGATGCAGTGTGATTAAGTGGTTTGAAGGGTTCAATTATGGATTTTAAAAAACAGTGTTTTCAGCTAAAGCTGGAAGAGAGTCATTTTATAATTACCAAATTTAAAAAATTTAAACTATACCATAAAAACATCTTACTATCTGATTTTTTTTAAATGGCAATTGCCAAAGTATGTTTAAATAAATCAAATGTCTGTTTTTTAAATCTGATATTAAGAAAGTATTTTCTTATTCTATAAATAAAAAGCATCAATGGTAATTTACAACCTAGTAATTTTAATATAACTCTATAATATTTCTTCAAAGTATGATAATAATAAAATCCTTTTTATGCTTTCTGGATTTACTAAAAATAAATACAACTATTTTAAAGGTAAATTGAGGGGCTTCAGTGTAGTTTAGTGACAACCTTTTATTAAAAAGTACATCTGGAGGTGGGGGAGACAAGGAAATAACAAGTCAAATTTGTAACTTTGTCAGACACAATAAAAATCTTTCTGAAATGTTAATGGCTCCTGATGAAAACAAGAAGAATTTAATCAAACAAAAAGGTCATTAGAGCAGAAATTTTAAAAGTTTCAAATTCAAAACAAAATGAAAATTATTTTTATCTGAGAGTGCAGATATGGACATTAAAGACACTGTGTTAAAAGTGCTAGAAATACAATGATGAGCTTCAAAGGGCTTACATCCTAACTAGTAACACAGATCAATTAAAAAAAAAAAAAATAACCTCACTGCCATCGAGTCAGATCTGACTCATAGTGACCCCTCCTTGGGTTTCCAAGGCGGTATCACTACAGAAGTAGATTGCCCAATCTTCCTTCCAAGGAGTGGCTGGTGGATTTGAACCACCAGCCTTCTGGTTAGCAGTCAAATGCCTTAGACACTATGCCACCAGAGCTCCTAGATCATTGGGAAGACACAATAAATCAGTCTTCACTGGTCTGACAGAGACTAGTGAAACTCCAGAGACTACAGCCCATAGATCCTTCAGGCCTGGAATTGAACTCACTCTCATGGGCTAACTTCTAGCCAAACAACAGACAGACATACAGGGTGAACAACTGCAACATGTAGGTACACTCCTTAGAGCAACCACCCATGGCGATCAGAAGAGCAGCATTTGTGGAGGGAGATAGCTTAGTGGGCAGGAATGCATAGGAAAGATCACAGGGAAAAGGTAACCAGGGGAGGAAGTGGGAAGAGAGCTTTTTGTGGGCATTGCAATCAGTGTTACAAAACAAAATGTGTATGAACTGCTGAATGGAAAATAAATTTCCTCTATAAACTTTCATCCCAAATCACAATATAAATAAATAAATAATCACTCTTTTGCTGAGACTCTAAGTAAACAAAGCAAAAATGTTAATAAGCTGTAAACTAAATGAAGACTTATAAAACCTGCCATATGACTTATAAAACCTGCCATATGACTATAAGAATAGGTTACAATCTCATGTTAACACACATATGTATAACAACTCCTTACAAATAAGCATTTAAAATAATAAGGTATTAAATACAGTATTTAAAATAACAAACAATAAATACTCTATAAAATGGTTATGTATCTTTTTTTTAACAAGGAGTCAGTATAGAGACATATTTTCCAGACAATGTACACCTGAACAATTATTATTTGTGTGTTTAGAATATTTACACACATAACTATATGCATAGTGTCTTACCAGAAGATTTTTCACTTTGATAGAAGGAAGAGGTGGGAGAGACCACAGCAGTAAAGAAACTAATCCTTATAAGCCTGTCATTTAATACATTAAAAGATTTACTAAGCATAATCTAGTAAGAAGTTAACTAAATTCCCATAAAAAAACGTATGTAACTGAAGCTTATTAGGTAACAAATAAGAAAAGTTCTAGGTATCTGAATCAAGATGGTCAATTTACTACATAATTTCAGAGTCCCCAGTAAAATTATAATGAAGTAATTAATAAAGATATAATAAATTTTTATCAATTAAGAGAATGGGAAAGGGAGCATCAGCAAACCAGAAATTGAAACCAATTTTGGGAACACAGAAAGCAGACTAATTGAAGAGCTAGTTTTGGAGAATAACAGACCTGAGAGCAAAAGGAGGGGATACAACTGAGAAGAAAGTTTATCTGCTGTAGAAAATCCCAAAAGATTTAGGATTATCAACAGCTAGAGAAAAGGCAAGTCAGAATGACATAGAAATAGATGTGAAAACAGAAAAATTTAAGGTCTATATATGGAACATTTAATGTCTACCTCTAATCCCTCCCTTACCTCACCTGATCCCACCCACAATAAACCACACAACAGCAAGGTGCTTACTCTCATGCAAAACATTTCTAAGAAAAATACTGACTGCCTGGGGGGCTCTAGGGGGACACAGTTGTCCACACTCTAAGCTCCTCATCCTCCTCTACCCCAGTAAAGGCCAACTACCCACCTCCTCATCCTAAGAGGCAACAACAAGCTGCACCCATGTGCACAATGCTTCTAGATATCTTAATATTGCCTAAATCTTAAATATAAACAGAATACTAAAGATTACCAGACATTTGAGGGTAATAATATGAAAGCAAAAGATCAGGGCAAACCAAGAGAGCCCAAGAGCAAACAAAGATGACCAAAAAGCAGAGAGGAACTTAAAACAAAAATACCTCTAATTGGTATCCTGAGAGAGATGAGAAGATCTTGCATTCATAAAATAAAAGGGGATACTATGGAAAGAAACAGAGAATAAGACAAGCTTTCAGAAAATTGAAAACATGCTTAATAGGATAAAAACTCAAAAGAAGATTAAAAGATAAAGCTGAGGATATTGCTAATTAAAAAAAAAAAAGATAAAAGAAATAAATAGGGGAGATAATAGACACAGAGAGTCGATTTAAGAGTTCCAATATTCAATCAGTGAGATTAATAAAAAGAAAACTGAAAATTGAAAATATTTTTGAAATAATATAAACCAAAAAAACCAAACTCACTGCCTCCGAGTCATTTCTGACTCATAGCGACCCCCGTTGGGTTTACGAGGCTGTCAATCTTTATGGAAGTAGATCACCCCGTCTTCCTTCCGTGGAGCAGCAGCTGTTGGGTTTGAAACGCTGACCTTCCAGTTAGCAGTCAAGTCCACTATGCCACCAAAGCTCCAAATAATATAAAGGAATACTATATTCAAAAACCAAATGACATATACTTCTTGACTGAACAGGTCACCTGAAGAAATAGTACAATACATGGATAAAGAGCCACACATTATAAATAAACAGTCACAAAAGTGGGGAAAAAAAATGGTATAAGCAGTATTTATAGAAACTAAAAAGTCACAAAACTGTTGAAAACAGAAGTGAAAAATGGTTATCTCTGGAGAACAGGAATTTGTGTAGAGGTGAGGTGGCAGCATGCATCCAATATTTAAATCATGTGTAAGTATTACTTTGATGAAAAGTTTCTTTAAAACATATTTTTAAAATCACTTTCAGATATTCAAAGTAGATAAAACCGTAAAATAACATTTATTTATGAATCGCAAATAGGTTTATAGGACTATGAGTTGAAAACATACCTAAGATGTGGGTAAGAGAAACAATCCAAATTTTGATCTGGCAATCCTGACCACATGACGCCAGTCGGAAAAGCTGAAGGCCTTGTTCTCCATCTAACAGATATAAATTTATGAAAAATAAATACAAAGAACTGATAGCACATTTAAGAAAAAACAATACAATTTATTTTACTAAGATACGTTAGGTCTATTCATTAAAACTATCCACAAGCAATATTAATTAATTTATACCATATGACAAAATGTCAAAGAATTTATTTTAAACAAGGTACTATAAAGGATTATAACTTTAGCTCCTGAAGTAGCTACAATAAAAGGCCTTTTTATCTACCTTCCACTAAGGATGTAGCTCAAGGCTGCTGGGGCCAATAATGAGCCAGTAAGCTTAGCACATCCTTTAACCCAGTGTATGAGGTTGGCATTAACAGAGAAAATTAGGAAGAAAAGTCAATTATGATATGAGTGTTAAATGCTTAATTATTCCCAATTTAACTTTTTCAGGATATTATCAATTTCTTAAAAGCCTGATGTAACATCAAGTCAGCCCATTTGATGAAAAATATTAAAGTAATTAGAGAAAGTTATCAGTTAAACTTGGTGTAACATAAAGTCACTAGTTTATGCTTACTTAATTTCACTGTCTATATCTACTAGGTAAGTTCCCAAATACTTGTAGGCAATATAAACATTGATATCATCAATTCAATTTTATATGAATTCCATCTAATATAACTGATGCAGCCTCATCAAAGGAGTTCTGGCAGTTATATGCAGTAAGGCACAATTAAGAAGCCTAGTACTCATTTTAAGACTGTAGTCTAGTTTTGCAAATTTCAGTGTATGGGATTTAATTTATACACCTAAGTATGAAAAATAAGTTTTATCTATTAACTCTGTCTCATTTAAGGAACATACACTTTATTATTACACAACAAAGTAACTTCCATTTCATTGAAAATTTTTCTAACTCCATGGAATTTCCACATTTCAATAGCATTTTTGATTTTGTAGCACACATGCAGCAAAGGTGCATCCTTTCTCAGAAATATCTTGATGGATGCAAACAATTCTCAATAATCATTAAGTCTCTTTAAAGACAAAATATTTTTATTCAATAAGTGGCTGACAATAAAATATTTCAGTGCTAGTCTTGATTGGGATTTTTTTTTCATTGTTTCTTAACTAAATACAAAGTTAATTCTGTAGTTTAACCCTTTTATGACTGAATTATTTTTTGCTCACTATATTTTGAAGTAACATGGGTTTTTAGTAATGAAAGGTATGCTGAAATCTAGGAAAAAACAAAATAATGTGAATTTTGATACAATTATATGGGTCATATATGTCCCAGTGGACTCTGGCTGTAGGACTGGTAGGGTAAGACCCATTTTTCAGATTCACACAGCTATATGGGTACTTGTCAGGTGGCAGCATGTAGTACAACTGGGACAGTAGCTCAAGAAACGTGAGAGGCTGAAAATGTTGGTGGGTGATATATGTCCCATGGGCCAAGAAAGGGTTATGAAGTGAGAATTCAGCTAAGATCATGGAAAATTATGGAGCTTAAACTATATGCCTATTCTTAATAGCTAAATATAATATTTAGAAAAATCTTTTAAGTAAAAATATTTTAAATGTAATAATAAACTAGCCCAAGCTTTATGTCTTAAAAACTAGAGAAAACTAATGATTTATCCTTGGGGTCAAATGAAAGTATTTTTCCTTATTTGAGTAAAATGTCATAGAGATAAAAGAGAGTCAATATGTCTTAAGTATTTACAGATATTAACAAAATACCAAATTAAATAACAAATCAAAAGGTAACAAATTATAATGCATACTTTGTCCTTAAGAACTTAGTAGTTCCCACAAGTTCTGATAATAATCACTTTTAAGGCAAACATCAATCTGCTTTTACTTCCATCTTGTTATTGTTAAGTGCCATTGAGTTGGTCCTGACTCAGAGCGACTCTTATGTACAACAGAATGAAACACTGCTCGGTCCTGTCCTGTCCCCATAATCGTTGTCAAGCCTGAGCCCCTCATTACAGCCACTGTGTTAACTCATTTTATTGAGAGTCCTTCCCTTTTTCATCAACCCTCCACTTTATCAAGCATGATATCCTTCTCCAGAGACTGGTTCCTTCTGACAGCATGACCAAAGTACGTGTGACAAAGTTTGGGCATTCTCACTTGCAAGAAGTATTTGGCTGTACTTCCTCCAAGGCAGATTTGTTCTTCTAGTAGAAGATCGTATGTACAATATTCTTCACCAATATCACAATCAAATGCATCAATTCTTCTGCAGTATTCATTATTCATTGTCCAGCTTTCACATGCACATGAGGCTATTGAAAATAGCATGGCTTGGATCAGGCTCATCTTAATGTTCAAAGTACCATCTTCACTCTTTAACACTTTAAAGATGTGTTTTGCAGCAGATCTGCCCAGTGCAAGATAATCGTCTGACCCCCTGACTGCTGTTTCCATGGGCATTGACTGTGGATCTGAGTAAAATGAAATCTCTGATAACTTAAATCTTTTCTCCATTTATCATAATTTTGCTTATTGGCCCAGATGGGAGGATTTTTGTTTTCTTTATGTTGAGGTGTAATCTACAATAAAGGCTGCAATCTTTGATCTTCACTAATAAGTGCTTCAAGTCTTCTTTACTTTCAGCAAGCAAGGTTGTGTCATCTGCATATCACAGTTGTTAATGAACCTTCTTCCAACCCTGATGCCTTCCAATCATACTTCCTCACATAGTGCAGCTTCTTGCACTATTTGCTCAGCCTACAGACTGAATAAGTATGGTGAAAGAATACAAGCTTGATGCATCCCTTTCCCGATTTTAAACAATGAACTACCTACCCCCTTATTCTTTTTAAACAATTGCCTCTTGGTTTATGTACAAGTTCCTCAAGAGCATGAGTAAGTGTTCTGGAATGCCCATTCTTCACAATGCTATCCATAATTTTTTATGATCCACCCAGTCAAAAGTCTTTGCATAGTCAATAATACACAGGTAAGCATCTTTCTGGTACTCTTTCCTTTCAGCCAAGATCCATCGTATGTCAGCAATGGCATCCCCTATTCCCATCCTCTTCTGAATATAGCTTGTTCCTTGCCAATATGTGTAACCATTTTTGATTAAGCTTCAGGAAAATTTTATTTACATGTAATAATAATGATATGGTTCTATAACTTCCACATTCTGTTGTATCACTTTTCTTTGGAATGGACACAAATAGGAATCTTTTCCATTCAGTTGGTTAGGCAGCTGTCATCCAAATGTCTTGGCATAAACGAGTGAGAATCTTCAGCTCTGTGTCTGTTTGTTGAAACATCTCAATAGGTATTCCATCAATTCCTAGAGCCTTGTTTTTATTATTTATTTTATTATTATTATTATTATTTTTTACCAATTCCTTCATGCAGCTTGGACTTCTTCCTCCAAAACAATCAGTTCCTGATCATATGCTACCTCCTGAAATGGTTGAATGTTGACCAATTCTTTTTGGTACAGTGACTCTGTGTATTCTTTCATCTTCTGTTGATGCTTCTTGCATCATTCAATATTTTGCCCATAGAATCCTCCAATATTTCTACTTGAGGCTTGAATTTTTCCTTCACTTCTTACAGCTTGAAAATGTTGAGCATGTTCTTCATAGAAAAGTACTATCTATTTCACCAGAAGTACCAAAGACTAAAGAAGGGACATAGGTTAAAATTATATGAAGAGAAAAGAAACTTTGAAATATGCTCTACAGACAGGGTAGGGAACTCTGCCTGGATTGTGAACCTTTACAGGTCTCATCAGCTGCCCATCCCTCTAAAGACAGAACAAAAATAGCCTTAGTTTTATTCTAACACTAATTAATGTAATAATAGTATTTTGATCGAAACTCTATTTTCAGAGCATGCAGAATAAAAAAAGAAACCAAATCTCCCTACATTTGTGAAATTCATCAAAGATTCATTGCATGCCTGTAAGGTGGCAGAGAAATGGAAGAAACAGTATTTTACTGCAACAAGCTAATCTTGGTAGAATAAAACAACACAAAACACTATATTAAAAAGAATTAATTAATAATCAAATTTTGTGAGGAGTTTAATACAAGAATGAATATTACTTTGCTACAAGATATTGAAAACAAAAGCAAACAAACAAAAAATAGCAGATCACAAACAAGAATCTTACTTATGAATCAATATTTCAAGGTCTACCTACTATGTGAGAGCTCTGGTGGCATAGTGCCTAAGGCATCTGACTGCTAACCGGAAGGCTGGTGGTTCAAACCCACCAGCCACTCCTTGGAAGAAAGGTTGGGCAATCTATTTCCGTAGTAATACCACTTCAGAAACCCAAGGAAGGGTTGTTAGGAGTTGGGACAGACTCGACAGCAGTGAGTTTACTAAAAATTTTAAATGAATATATATAGTTGCATTATACTGTTATAAGACAGTGCTGGTCAAGACAGGAAACTTCCATCCTAACAAAGAAAATAAAACTTAAAGAAGAAAATTTCTCAATTCACTGTTATCTTTTTAAAACCAAGAGTTTAAATATTCAGGCATTTTTTGTTTCTTCTCTTTAAAAAACTAAATGTGCTGTCCAACATCTTACTTTATAAATTCAGCTCTTATAAGACTAAAATTACAGTAGTGGAAAAATGTAGCTTTTGTTTCCAAAAATTTTTTTTATTTCACATTCCATTTGATATCAAATAGTGCTTTAAAAAAATCATAACCAAATTATAAGTAAAACCAGTATGTTTAAGTTCTCTAAATCACCATATTCAAAGAAACTGGATTTAGTATACCAAGTTGAGACGTCCCCTAAATACATTAAAGAACTTGATTTTCTGACATACTATTTCTTCATTTTGATCTTTCCTTTGTAAGAATAAATCAAAAGTGCTCCTCATTATACTAATGATGAAATGAGTAAAAGAACTAAAAGTCATATGCAAATTATGAATAGGAATTACTACAATTCAAAAGAATAAAACAACTAACCAGAAACAGGCTGTGAAGAAAAATCGCAGCAGGTAATTCCAAGATCATGTGCTTTTTCACTATGCAGACACCTCATTTTATCATTCCACACTGTTAAATCTCCACATGAGGAGCCAGTGACAAAGAGGTTGCCACTAGGAGAAAATGCACAGGCTACCAAGGAACCATCCTTAACACTACCACATCTGAAATAAAATGGAAAAAAAAGGGATTGTCATTTCAGAGCATCTTTTACTTTATATTATAAAACTCTATGAGCAGACTGATACAGAAAAAAAAGAGAGAGAGAGAGAGATATGGCTATCATGGAACCAGAGAGGAAAGGTGAAAAACACCTACAGAAATAAAATACCATTTTAATGCTACAAACTGAGATATGCTTTCTAAAAATAAGGGAGATTTAAAAATTATCTTAAATATTACTTACACAAGCTAAACTATAGAGATCCAAATCAAAGTCCACACATCTTTAGATTTGTATATATAAATCAGTATGAACACATTGAAATCTACAAACTTAACAATGAAAACAAAGACTAACAACTATATACATTTTTAACAACATCCTAAAGCCTTAAACCATAAAACTGCTAATAGAAAACATAGGAGTATTGCTTCAAAACCTAGTTTTAACAAGGCTTCTTGGACACAACACCAAAAGCATTAGCAACAAAAGACAAAACTGATAAATTAGATTTCATCAAAATAAAAAACTTTTGTTCAACAAAGGACTCGAACAACAAAGTGAAAGGACAATCTACAGATGGAAAAAAGTTTGGGGAAGCATACATTAGATAAGAGTTTAATACCCACAATATAAAAACAACTCCTACAATTTAATAACAAAAGGACAACTCAATCAAAAAACGGACAAAGGATTTTAAAAGACGTTTCACCAAAGAAGATATACAAATGGCCAACAAGCACATGAAAAGATACTCAACATCTTTAGCCTTTTAGGGAGATGCAAATTAAAACCACAATGAGATACTAGTTCACTTGCACTAGGATGGCTAAGATTAGAAAAATGAAAAACAATAATTGTTGGAGAAAATGTGGAGAAACTAGAACTGTTATCCATTGCTGGATAAGTACAGTTATAGTATAGTCACTGTGGAAAATAGACTGGTGATTCCTCAAAAAGTTGAACACAGAACTACCATATGATCCATCAATTCTAGCAGATAGATAGATATATATCCAAAATATTTTAAAGCAATATTGCAAACAGATACATGTACACGAGTGTACACCTGTAGAATTATTCACAATAGCCCAAAGTGGAAACAACCTAAATAGAAAAATGGATAAACAAAACGTGTTTATATATACAATGGAATGGAATACTCAGCTATAAAGAATGAAGTCCTGATACATGCTACGACTTAGATGAACTCTGAAAACATAATGCTGAGTAAAGATAATCACAAAAGGAAAAAAATATTATATGATCTCACTTTCATGAACTATCTGGGATAGGCAAATGTATAGACCAAAGCTTATTAGTGGTTACCAGGGATGGGAGGAAGGGGGAAAGGAGCAGTTATTGTTTAGGAAACACTAAGTTTCTATTTATGATGGAAAATTTGGCAATGAGTATTAGTGATAGTTGCATAACATGATGAATATAATTGATGTCACTAAATTCTACATGGAAAAACAATTCATTGGCAAATGTGTTATATATATTTTTACAACAATTAAAAAACAAAAAAATACTAGCCAGGGAAATAGCTGTATCTGTTAGATGAGATTTACCTATCACTACTTTGTTAGTGAGAACACTTGAGCCATAAGTAACAGAAATTATTGAACCTTATTCATAGGACTAAGTTTTCTTTGTCTCTTACAGTAAAAATTTATAAGACTAATAAGATTAACTCTTACTTAAAAAAAAAAAAGATTGGAAATTTAAAACTTACTGAGCCAATATACCTACTACAAGAATTATATTAAACACTTCTGCTTTTTGACATTTAGAACAAATTTTTTTTCCTTACATTGTCTGATAATTACTTGCTCTCAAAATATTCTTTCTGCTATTTTGTGGTATACCATGCTAAAAAGATTAAAATGAAAGGGCTAAATATTCATACCTGTATAACTTGTATGACTGTGTATTCCACAAAACAACAGTTCCATCAGCTGCCCCTGAGGCCAAACAAGTGGAGTCTGGGGAAAACCGGCAAACCCTCACGGGGCTACCACTGGGCTGTTCCATCACTGCCAAAGTCTGTCCATTCTGCGTATTCCATAAGACAGTGGTACCATCTGTTGAACATGAAGCCAAAAGGTGTCCTGAAGGGGAGAAACAGCAGCAGTGGACAGCATACGTGTGAAACTTCAATGGAGAGTGTGGCAGCTCAGTGAAGTCCCTTAAGGAGTACAGGCGAATTGTTTTGTCCAAGGAGCAAGTAGCCAAGAGGGAAGAGGAGAAGGCACAACAATTGACATCATCATGATGATCAGCTAATGTGTGAATTAGTTTCACCATGTTCTTTATTTGAAGTGAAATAGCCTGCAATTTTTAAAAAAGATAAAGGTTACTTCATCCTAGGAATCAGATAAATGCAACTGAAATCCATAGAAAAGTACCAAATCAATTTAAGAATGTACTCAATGAAAGCTCCTATATTAACATTTTTAAAGGACAATCTATCATACTTGGGCTAAGTAAGGATAACTTAGAGATACATAAACATTTAAGACTATAGCCTCTGACGATGATGACATCTTCTATCACCATAACAGTAAGGTTCCACAACTGCAAAAGAACTTTGTCAAATGATTTCAAACTGATTTGATGATGAACATCCAAAATCTCAGGATGCTTTTTATTGCCTTGGAACCTTTTCTCACAGCTGATTAATTTTCACAGTGCCTCATCCCATATCTGCTACTCTCAACTCAAAGAGATTTTTCACTATTTTGATAGAGTGTCTCAGCTGCTCCTTCCACAAGGTGGAGCCAGGGCTATTTGCTCTGCCTTTAAGATGCCACTGTAGGATTTGCTCATAAAACAAAAGCTAACAAAGGGTCTCATTCACAATTTAAGTGGCATGTTGAAAGCTATCATGTCATGGTTTGTCATTTTGTCTGATAAAGAATAAAATGATATAAATGATTTGAGGGTAGGAGCCAAGAGAAATGAAAGAGTAGGGGAAAAAACTGATTTAACCAGACTGTACTCAAGAACAAAGTTATATACTTAGAATAAAATTCCAGCTCCTCACCCCTTCTACATCATCCCGCCTCTGTTTCTCCTGCCTCTCCCTCACTTCTTCCCAGCCTTTCTAACAAACTGATTCTGCTCTTGGCTCTTCATAGAGATGTTTTCTTGTGCCAGAATTCTTTCCTTTGCTCTTGGAATGGCTGGTTCCTATTTCTCATTCTGATCTTAATTTTAGCGTCTCTCCTCAAAGGTTTCTGAATCTAAAGCAGCCACTCAGTCACTCTCTATACTAGCACACACACCATTTTAATTCTCAGTGTAGCAATTACCATCTGCTATACTTGTTTATTTATTTGTTCATTTATTTAGTGATCTCCCCCAGTAGGATGCAAGCTTCAAATGGGTAGGGACCTTGTCCATCATGCTCACTTCTGTATCCATAGCACATAACCAGTGTCAAGCACCTAATGTGCTCAGTAAACACTTGTTGAATTAATATTTACTTTTTCCAACTGTGTTCCAGCCTTTAGACATCATATACAGATTACAATGTTAAATGATTAGAAAATTAAAAATAAAGCTATCAATACTAAAAAAACCTATGGCAGAGGGAAAATGCTATAAAATGAGGCAATAATCAACCCCGGAGGGACAGATGACATTGGTTTGTAAAATTCATCATCGCTTGTCCTAATCTTATTTACAGAAATCTCTACGAACAAAATGATGGCGCGTGCCTTTTTCCAGTTTCATCTATTAAAAAATTCAGCTTCTTTTTTTTCAAACATAAACGCCAACAAAGCCCAAACAAACAAGACCTAGCAGATTATTGCGCATATAACTGCACTAAAAACAATCAAGATCAGGTGGTGCTTTCTGAAGAAGTCCCAAATCCCAACGGTACAAGTGCACGGCGATAATTTTCCAAACAGAATGAATGATCTCCCATTTACTTTGGCCTCCCCACCCTGGTGGCACTTTGCTCCCACTTCAGTTCGAGGCCAACGAAGGAGACCGTCATCAGTTGAAGAGTTTGTTTTGAAGAGTTCTCATCCTACTCCTACTACTCAGGCCTCAGCTGTCATGCCAAACGCTAAATCCCCGGTAAACCGAGGCAATTCGTCAGTGTCAACACACGCAGCCCTATCTAATGCAAAGTAAACACGAAATGTGCCAAGAATCCTCCAAAATAAAGCCTGCCACTTACTCCCCCCTACGCGGTCTCTGCGACTCCTTTCAGAGGGTGGCCTCGGACGCTGGCCGCTCACCGCGGAACGAGCACGGGCACTGGGCCTTCCCGAGAGCAGAGAGCGGGCACCAGATCTTGGGCAGGGCTCAGCTGAAGCTTCTTCCCCAGGACGCCCGATCCCCAGGCCGAGGCTGCGCAACCGTGCCTCGCTCCTGTCAAAGTGCCAGCCGGTCCCTGTCGCACGCTCAGAACCAGAAATACAGGGTTCCGACGCCCAGAACTTGTAGGTCATGCAGGCTGAGGGAAACACCAGGTAGAACCGCACCCCTCGAACGACGGCTGCCCTCTCCCACTGGCTGCCCTTCCCCCACCTGCTGCTGCTGCAGCTAAACAGAACGGTGGGCACGACCCTCAGGTGCCCCGGAACCGTGACACTCAGGTGAGGCGGGCGTGGCGGGCGCCCACAGAGACCATGGAAGAAGCTCCACCCTTCCGGGGACTGTAGACGCCGCAGCGCATGCGCGCCCTTCAGCTCCCCGTCCGGGGCCGGGAAGGTCTTCTCTGAATTCTGGCTTTGCCTTCAGGAAGAGGTCAGAGTTGGAAAGACCATGTAGCAGTTTTTTCTTAGTTGAAGAACCTGAGATCCCAAGGTGTAGAGGGTGTTGTGTGACACTGAAATGTGGTTTTAAAAGGGACTTTGTATAAACTGTGCTGTTATTCCAGTTTAAAGTTTTTGAATCTCCTTCCTCCACCGAATTACCCCGCTTTGCAGTTTTTTTTTTTTTTACCTCAGTGGTGCCTATTTAGGCTCGCTCTGCCCTCAGCGGCTCGTGACTTAGTCTGTTCTACCATAACCTGTGTGTGCGAGTTTCCCAAATTTCTCTTTTCAGGCCGGGCTGCTTGTCCAGGCACCCTGACTTTTCCCTTTCTCTACCCACTAAGCAGATCTGGACGGTTATCGTGGTGTCACCTGCACCAGTGCGTTCATTCCAGCATTTCCGAGTGTGTCAATGAGGCTCACAGATTGTGGTTTCTTAGTGTAAATGAGTAGAAAATGGCCCTGCCAGCCCCATTTAAGATTAAACTAATTAAAAAAAAATTCCTAGGCATACTATAGCACTATGTTCAGATGAGAATCTAAGACAGGTAACAATAACAACAACAATCAAAAAACTCAAACTCAACTGCCATCGGGTGGATTCCAACTCATAGCGGTTTTCCAGGTTGTAAATCTTCAGGGAAATAGATTGCCCCATCTTCCTTCCATAGAAGAACTGATGGGTTTGAACCACTAACTTTCTGGATAGCAGCCAAATGCCTTACCCACTATGCCAACAGAGCCCCTTAAGAAACAGATAGCTTTTTTTTTTTTTTTTTTTTCCCAATTCATGCCACTATGGTTTTCTTTAATGGGGAAACCTTTAAAAATCATCAGCCTGAGAAAACTAAAGCTATCTTTGGAGAGTAATAACCTAAAATGCTCAAGTTTAAAAATGAAATTGAGATAATTGGAAACTGTAATAATAACAAAAGCCTAAAGGGAAAGAGGAGATCAAAATTCATGATTCTGAGGTTACCCAAACTAGACCCACTGCTGCCCAGTGATTCTGACTCACAGTGACCCCAACTGGTTACAAAGGCAGTAAACCTTTTCAGAAGTAGATTGCCTCATCTTCCTCCCCCAGAGCAGCTGGTGGGTTTGAATCAGTGACCTTCTGGTTAGCAGCCAAATGTCTTACTCACTAGCCACCAGAGTTCCTTCTTGAGAAGCTTAGGTGATTTTAAAAGTTCTAGACATTCCTGTTTATTGTGCTCAGCTTTATTGTTCTTTGCAGATACCCTGCTTTTTTTATTATTATTATTTTCAACAAATTGAAGGTTTGTGATCACCCCACCTGGAGAAAGCCTATTGGTGCCAAATTCCCAACACCATGTGCTCACTTCGTATCTCTGTCACATTTTTTGGTCATTCTCACGGTATTTCAAACTTTTCATGATAGTATTTATTGCACACTTAATAGACTAAAGTATAATATGAACGTAACTTTTGGATGCCCTGGGAAACCGAAAAAAAAAAAAAATTGTGTGATTTGCTTAATTGTAGTGGTCTGGAACAAACCCACTATAACTTGATTTATGCTTGTATTTACAGTGTATCATGACTTGGAACACCTGATTATGTTTCAAAGAACAGCCATAAAGTAGTTTTCTAAAAACAACAGAGCACTCTGTAGGAAAAATAACCAAAAAAGAAAAAAACAAACTCACTGCCATCGAGTTGGATCCAACTCATAGCAACCCCTCCTTGGGTTTCTGAGGCAGTATCACTATGGAAGTAGATTGCCCAACCTTCGAGGGAGTGGCTGGTGGGTTTGAACCACCACCCTTCTGGTTAGCAGTCAAATGCCTTAGGCATTACAGCACTATAAATAGGAAAATATTGTATTGTTATGTGCTGTCAAGTGGGCTACTAATCACAGTGACCCCATGTACAACAAAACCAAACACTGCCCACTCTGGCACCATCCTCACAATTATTACTATGTTCGAGCCCATTGTTGCAGCCAATATGTCAATCTATCTCACTCAGGGTCTTCCTCTTATTCAATGACCCTCTATTTTACCAAGCATGATGTCCTTCTCCAGGGAGTGGTTCTTCTCTTCACTTTCAGCAAGGAAAGTTGTATCATTTGTTTATCACAGTTTGTTAATGAGTCTTCTTCTAATCCTGATCCCATGTTCTTCTTCATATAGTCCAATTCACATTATTTGCTCAGCAGAGATTAAATAAGAATGGTGAAAGGATACAAGCCTGATGCACGCCTTTCCTGATTTTAAACCACACAATATCCCCTGGTTTTGTTCGAATGACTGCTTCTTTGTCTACGTATAGGTTACACATGAGCACAATGAACTGTTCTGGTATTCCCATTCTTCGTCATGGTATCCATAATTTGTTATAATCCACACAGTTGAATGATGCCTTTGCATAGTCAATAAAACACATATAAACATGTTTCTACTACTTCTGTAGTGATACTGCCTCGGAAACCCAAGGAGGGGTTGCTATGAGTTGGGTCCGACTCGATGGCACATAACAACAACAACAAGCATCTTTCTAGTGTTCTCTGCT